CCCCCCCAGCCGATCCCACATGGCTCGCCTCCGCTCAGGCCTGGCCCAGCAGGTAGGAGACGCCAGCGTGTGGCAGAGCGCCATGCCGTGGGCCCTGCCTTCTCGGCTTCGCTCTGGCGAGTGCACGCGCCCTCTGGAAAAGTAAACAGAGACCGACTCCCCCAGGTCAGCCCAGTGCCCTCGCTCACGGAGGGGCGTGTCTGCCGTTGTGGGCAGGCGCAGCCGCAAGGCCATGAGCCCTTCCCAGGCAGTGATGACGATTCTTGGCCTACACGGGAGGTCTGGGCCGCACCCCGCCTGCAGCTGTGCTCTGCCGTGATCTGGGTGGGGCCATGGGAGTGGGGTCAAGCCCCTGGGGGGCGCTGTCCGCTTGCCCTGTCCGTGGGAATAAATAAACCTCTTCAAAAACAAAACAAGCCTGGGACCAGCAGTTGGCGTAATGGCTATGTCGCTGGACTACGCGCCCCATAGCAAAAACCTCTCAAAACAAACAAACAAACAACAACAAAAACACAAGCCTTCCCTGAAGGTGTTTGCAGACACCCTGAGAGGATTCACATGGCAGCTCTCGCCAGAAGACCAGAGGGCTGCCCCTCCGAGCCTCGGGCCGACCCTGGAGGTAAAGATGGACCAGCACAGACCTTGGGCCGGCCCTGGGGTAGCTGAGTCGCCCTCCCAGGGTGACACCCACCCTGCTCCCCTCCACACACAGCAGGGCCAGGTGCCAAGAGGGCTCCAGCTGCCATTCTGAAGCTCTCAGTCACCACGGGGAAGGTCACCCGTGGGGGCAGCTGCTGGGCCGTGGGAGGCTGGCTGGGGCCCACCCTATCAGAAAGATGAGAGGCCGAGGGCGTCTCATGTGTTTCTCTGGTGCCCGCCGAGCTTCATGGGGCTCCTGCCCATGCACTGCACCCCGCCTCACGCTCCATGCCTCAGCGAGAGCCCGTACCTGGCTTTCTCTTACCTGTAGACACGGGCCTGGGCCGGAACATGGCCCGCAGCTGGCCTGTACCCTCCATGCTGCCTGAAAGGCTGCCCCCCCCCTCCGGGGCC